CATAATAGGTGTCGCGAGGCCATGGCGAAAGCGAGCAGCAGCTAAGCACGGCCGAAAGGGGAGGAAGAGGCTCCCACGGCGGCCGAAAGCACGCAGCGCCATGGACGCTTCGGTGGCGGCGCTGAAAGCTCACCAGGGCTCGGAAGCGCGCAAGCGCGCGCGTGAGCCGAAGGGAGGCGAAGGCGCGGCTGTGGGCGCGAGCAATCGGAAAATGACGCGGCGGTCGAGAGCTTACGCCGGCGAGCGGCGGGCGGCGCGAGGGCGAGCTCGAGCTCTCGGCTCTGGGGAGAAGAGGCGTGGCGCGAGTGAGCGAGTACGCGGGCATCAGCCAGTGAAGGCGGGCGCGGGGCGATGTGATGTCGATGCCTTGCCATGCGGCGGTTGACGCCGACATCTGCGGTCGCCACGCCATGGCGGACGCTTTCTGCCATGATGCGTGGCGTGGCGTGAAAGCAAAGGGGACGGCGCAGCTGGGTCATGGCTGAAAAGGCGCCGATGATGGCGATGCATGTGTGCAGGCTGGCTTGGCGTGGCCTTTGGGCGGCTTTCAAGAAAGCGGGCTGAAGCGAGGCGCAAGGCCCACGAAGGTAAAAACAAGATTTTTCAAATTAATTTGAATTCCTTTTCCATTCAAACGAATTTTGGACTAAATCAAAGCAGTTTCAAACTTTGGGCCAAAAATAAAAGTTGCTCAAAATTTTATCCTCTACAACTTTGATTTTAAGACCAACGTCCAATTCATTATAGATTTTGAATTATACAATTAAAGTCAATTTTGAGTTGAACCCTAATTTTTGAAGAATTATTTTTAAAGCAAAATTTGGCAATAATTCAAATGCAAACCTTGCTCCAAAAATTGTGATAAACAATTCTAGATGATTTATAATTATAACCAAACAAGCTCTACTACCCTAGCAAGCAAAATCAGGGCAAAACAATTCTTAAACCGGTGTATGCAACATTCAGGTTTCACGCACGTTTCAATTGTTTCAAAACAATGTTTCAATTGATATGCACATGATTAAGCACGTAGGATTTGGATGCTTGATGATGCATGATATGCGTGATTTGCAGTGCTTAAATGTAGGCATAACACCGGGGTGTTACAATGGTCATCAACACTGACTCGCCCGAGCAATCAAGTGTGCAACTATGGTTTCAACTTGCCCCAGGGGCATGGGCCCCGCCTCGTCCGACGGCTAAAGCACAGGTCTTGCCTCACCCGACCCTTGGGGGACGGGCTCCGCCTCTACCAACCCTTGGGGCGCGGGCTCCGCCTCGCTCGATGGATGGAATACGGGCTCCGCCTCGCCCTACCGCTAGGGTACGGGCTCCGCCTCACCCGACCCCTGGGGCGCGGGCTTCGCCTTGCCCGACGGTTGGACTGCGGGCTTCGCCTCGCCCGCCCAACGGCTGGAGTGCGGGCTTCACCTCACCCGACCGCTGGGGTACGGGCTCCGCCTCGCCTAACCCCTGGGGTCAAACCGAACGCCGAACGGGAGCGCCCCCATGGGGGCCCGCATTATCCCTAACCACCACGGGCGTGGGATGTGGACTCAATGCCATGCCTATGATGCTAGGAGAGTGGTGGACATGTCTCGACGTGACCCGTGGACTCGACAAACCATACTTGGGCACGCACGTCACCAATAGTGCCGCACGGACCGGCACCGTGCTACCAAATCCCCGTATGGCCCCAGTCATGGGGAACTATTGACCATACTATGCGCATACAATGGGATGGACACCACGACTGGATGACGACGGCCACCTGTAGCAGGGATGTGACGAGAAGTCGCTACAGGACCAACGGGGCCTGCCTATAGGGGAAGAAGAGAAACGTGGCCCGGAGCTTTCTTCTTCTCTGTTTTTCTCTTTCCTCTTTTCCTTCTTTTCTTTTTCTCTCATGTACCCCAGGCCTCTCCCTTGATGTATAAAAGGAAAAGCTGGGCTCCTCGTCAAGGGGATCAAACCTGATTGGATCTGATCGAATCAAACCAGAACCCAAGCCTTCCTAGCGCGCTTCGCCACTGGGAAGCAACACTCTCACTCACCCACATTCGCACACACCAAAGACTTGGACCATGTCCCTCTCTCGACCGTTTGTAACCCCTACTATGAACTTTTGGTGCTAGTAACACAAGCAGTAATGACGAACTGGACGTAGAGACGTTCTGCCCGAACCAATATAAATTTTGTGTTCTCTAAGCATACCATCCGAGCCAGACGCACAATCTAGAAATTTACTAGTCGGCGACTTGAAACACCAACAATACGTATGCTAACTAATAACTTACTGATAGGGGTTTGGCTCCCGAGCAAGGATTTGATGAGATAGTCATTCAATTTAAACAATGGAGATGGCTCCGTCTCTTTTTGCAATAGATGGTTTTTTATAAAAATTTTACAAGAGTTTGGATGAATCAATTCAATACCACTTCTAGGATTTAGTAAAAGATACTTTGCAAAAACAAAATAATTTGGTGAAAAAGGATTTCCAAAGGAGCAAGGGGTCGTCGGGGTGTAACGGTAAACGTAGTGCGTCATAGCGGTCAATAAACCATATCATTTAACTGAGACAAGCCGGATAAACAAAATCTTCTATTCTCGCTTCCATTCCTACTAAGAACTCTCAAACACATACACCCCCCCTTCTCTTCCATTCTCTACCAACTTCCCCTTTTTTACTGCACATCAACCATTTCAAAAATAGCACATGAAATGTTTTGTGCACAAACTTTATAAAATGAAAGGAATTTAAATCTATGCACTATACAACCTGTTTAACTATATATATTTCACATGTTTGGTTTGAATTCACATTATATCTTCCTGTCATCGCCGCTCTCCCGCCTCCATCTAGCCACCGCCATCGCTGTTGCACCACTCCTACGAGCTGCGTAGCCATCTCGGCATCACATGGACAGGCAGCGCCACCGCTACTCAGCCTGCCCGAGCCGTGCTGCTGCCCATCTATCCCACCCCGTGCGAGTCGCGCAAGCGCTGCCTCCTCTCGCCAACATGGGTGCGCAGCCGGCATCACCATCACCATCCCCTTTGCCCTGCCCATTTAATGACAAAAGCTCTTATAGTTAGATACACCATTGCTACCGCTGCCAATGCCCAGCGGATGTCAATGTTGTCAGCAGCACTTGTGCGCCCACGTGCTTGCGCTTTGATTTGTTTGTGCCTCCACAACTTGGTCACGAGAGAGAAAAAGGTAGATAAGGGAGAATAAGAAGAGATTAGGGGAAACTCTGAGCGAGAGAAGAGAGAGATGAAGGCAAAGGTATCTGTTTTTTGTCAATTTTTTGTGTTATCCAACCTTTTCTCTTCTTTAAGTTTTTTGTATTTATTTAAACATCACACATTGAATGTGTAACTTCTTGTCTTGTTGGTTGGAAGATTAGGACAATATATCTAGGATTTGTTTTGTTTAACTGTGAGTTGTGAAAAAGCTATTGTAACTTATGTGTCGTGGAAAAGCTATAAGTTTTTTAATTGGTAAACATACCCGTCTTTCTATCTTCCCTAAGCATCTATGGAAGAACTCTTAGGAAAAGCCAAAAGCCAAGAATAGGGTTCACATTACTACGAAAATTGTACTACGTGAAAGCAGCCGCTTCTGAAAAAGCAGTTTTAGCTTCAACCTATTTAGTTGGCTTTCTATATTTTTGCTCCCATGAGGAGTCGAACCTAGAACATGAGGTGATACTGAGACTCTTAACCACCAAGCTACGAGCCCTTTCGTACATAATTTTCATTACCTATATATAGAATCCAGATTTCTAAAGTCTTTAACTTATCTTTAGGACTTGTTTGATATACTTGTATTCACCTCAATTTATATGCGATGGAGTAGACTAGGGTGAAAAATTTATTTTTCCACCCTAATCCACTCCAACAAACATGAATTGAGGTGGATGTGATTTATTTTTTTGTTGCTCCTATGTTTTTTTTAATAAAATTGAACTAATTTTTTAACAAAAAATTATTATATAATCCTGTGAAATTTATGTGTTCCAAGCAGACCCTTCACTGTTTTCTGTCCCGCTGAATTACATCGGCTTAGGGTGTCTTCCGTTGGGATTCCTGCTGCCCCGGATCATCTGACTCAAACACTGTGTATGCACAAAAATTTTAGCTTCACTAGCTCCTACCTGGCTGTGAGAGGCAAAGATAGGGTGTTTTTGCAGTGTGCTACAGTGTTTTGCAGGAAGAAGCAGGAGCCGCCCGGATCCGTTCCGAGACAAGAGGCCGCTCGGAGAGAACCCGAAAGCCACAGCTCCCTCAGTCTTGTCCTCTCTCTTCAGTTTCTCGCTCCCCACTTTCCCCATTTTTACCGCACATCTCTCTTTCTCTCTCCTCCCTCGGCGTCTCGCACACCCCAGCAGCTTCGTCTCCCCTCCCCTCCCCTCCCATCCCCTCCGTCCCTCCCCAACTATCGGAACCGGATAGATAGATCGGCCCTATCTTTGCCTCCTCCCGGACGACTCGGCGCAAGGCCGCAGCTTTTCTCCCGATCTTTCGCGCTTCCCCGTTTTGACGCTTGCTCCCCATGGGGATTCTGGAGATCTTCGGGGCGGTTCGCTGCTGAGATGGTTCGCCGCATCACGCGCTTCTGTGACTCTCAACAGGTAGTCTTCCCTAGACTTTCCTCTTTCTTACTCCGATCTGCTGCACGGAGCAGCTGGGGAGTACTATTCACTTGCCTTCTCTGGCCGGCTGAGAGCGTGAGCTCGGTGGAGGAGTCCCTGATCTAGCCGAAGATTGGATTTTTGTGGGGTTGATTTGAGGTGTTTTTTTTGTTGCGCGATTTGGTGGTGTGGGCTTTCTTCCTTCCATTTTTGTAGCATCTGTCTTGTGTGCTGCTTCCGATTTTGTGGGATTTCTAGTCCATATCTCGCACTAGTGATGACTTGCTTGACTAGTTTCTTGACTGGTTTCCTGTTCTGTTTCTCATCGTTGCTTCAGTTCTTCCGATCCGAGGAGCCCCGGTGATGAACAGCATGCCGATCTCTCCGTCCTCTGCGGCAGGCGTCGACGGCGGCGCGGTGGCGACCGGCACGCCCATGAAGAATGCGACGGCGGCGGCCGCTGTCGCAGAGATGGCGAGGCATCTCACCGTCGACACGGACGACGCCTTCGCGGGCCTGCTGGAGCTCGCCGCTGACGACGACGCGGAGGGGCTGTGCCGCGCGCTGGAGCGCGCGCCGCCTGCCGCCGCGGACGAGGCCGGCCTCTGGTACGGCCGCCGGAAGGTCCTGGAGCACCGCACCCCGCTGATGGTCGCCGCCACCTATGGGAGCCTTGCTGCGCTCCGCCTGCTGGTGTCCCTCTCGTCCGTTGACGTCAACCGCCGCTCGGGCACGGACGGCACCACTGCCCTACACTGTGCCGCCTCTGGTGGCTCACGGACGGCGGTCGAGGCCGTCAAGCTGCTGCTGGGAGCGGGGGCAGACGCTGACACCACGGATGACTCTGGGCGCCGCCCGGCTGATGTGATCTCTGTGCCACCGAAGATGTTTGATGCCAAGTTCGCCCTTCAAGATCTTCTTGGATTCCCCAAGTCTGAGCATGGCATGCTCCGGGTGGTGACAAGGTCCACCAACTCGATCTCATCGCCTGTTTCATCCCCAACTGCAGAGGATGCACGGTCTCCGTCTGCTTCTGTGATGATGATGACAAAGTTTGCTGACTTGCCTAGGGTTGCAACATCGGAGAAGAAGGAATATCCAGTGGACCCATCCCTTCCAGATATCAAGAACAGCATCTATGCTTCCGATGAGTTCCGCATGTACTCGTTCAAGATCCGCCCTTGCTCACGGGCATACTCGCATGACTGGACTGAGTGCCCCTTTGTCCACCCAGGAGAGAATGCTCGGCGCCGAGACCCCCGCAAGTACCACTACAGTTGTGTGCCATGCCCAGATTTCAGGAAGGGCGTGTGCCGGCGCGGAGACATGTGTGAGTATGCTCATGGAGTGTTTGAGTGCTGGCTCCATCCAGCACAGTACCGGACGCGCCTATGCAAGGATGGCACAAGCTGTAACCGCCGCGTCTGTTTCTTTGCCCACACAACTGATGAACTCCGCCCATTGTATGTCTCCACTGGATCAGCGGTGCCATCCCCAAGGGCTTCAGGAACAGCTGCTATGGAGATGGCTGCAGCAATGGGCTTAATGCCTGGTTCCCCATCATCGGTTTCAGCGGTAATGTCCCCATTTACCCCACCAATGTCGCCTTCGGGCAATGGGATGCCCCCTTCGTTGGGCTGGCAGCAGCCAAATGTTCCAACATTACACCTTCCAGGCAGCAGCCTTCAGTCAAGCAGGCTCCGAACATCACTTAGTGCAAGGGATATGCCTGCTCATGACTACTCCCTGATGCCGGATCTTGATTCCCAACTTATGAATGATCTATGCTATTCCCGTCTCAGTTCATCCACAGGGAACCACTCTGCTCGGACCAAGTCCCTGAATCCATCAAACCTGGATGATCTCTTCTCTGCCGAAATGGTATCATCCCCGAGGTATAGTAATGCTGATCAGGGTGCTATGTTTTCACCTTCTCACAAGGCTGCTATCCTGAATCAGTTCCAGCAGCAGCAGCAAGCACTGCTTTCTCCAATCAACACTGGAGTTTACTCTCCAAAGGCTGTGGACAACCAGCAGTTACCTTCACACTCATCTCTGCTGCAAGCATCACTTGGGATGTCCTCCCCTGGCCGGATGTCTCCACGATGTGTCGAATCAGGCTCCCCGATGAACTCCCACCTAGCTTGTGCTCTTGTCCAGCGTGAGAAACAACAGCAGACAATGAGAAGTCTCAGTTCTCGTGACCTTGGGCCTAGTGCGGCACGAGCTTCAGCTCTCGGCTCCCCTCTAAGCTCATCATGGTCTAAGTGGGGTTCTCCTTCAGGGACACCAGATTGGGGCGTAAATGGTGAAGAATTGGGTAAGCTCCGCCGCTCATCGTCCTTTGAGCTGAGGTCTGGTGGTGATGACCCTGATCTCTCTTGGGTGCATACACTGGTTAAGGAATCTCCACCAGAGAAGCAAGTTACTACGGCCGAATTAATTAATTCCGTTGGACCCTCACCACTAATGCCTCCCGGCATGAACAACGGCGAAGGTTCTGGTCTGAACACCCAGCTGGATGCACATGACCAAGCCGCAGTTATAGGAGCATTGCTTGAACAGATGCAGCTTGATCAGCAGATTGGTAGTCTAGCAACATAGGCGCACAATGAGCCTGGAAGGTGTGAGGTTACTATATTCTTATCTAATGAATTCCAAGTTCTTTTTCCCTGTCAATTGAGGTACTCAACAAAGATGGATAGCTGAAGGTGGTGATTCAGAGATTGGTTTTCTTTAATTTTGGAGGTAAATCATATACATTATTGAGGTTCCAGTAGGTTAAAGAGTGAAGTTCCTTGGTTGGGTTGTTCCAAGGCCAACCCAGGTAGAATCGCACCCCGGCAGCATCAGTTCATCGATTGAAGTTCTCTATTTTGTTAATTAACCCTGTTAAGAAAAGAAGGCTTGTTCGCCGTGTCGGAATTCTTTCCTTTTCCCTAGTGGTGTTTATTTTGTTCATTATGATATCGATACTTGATGTACTGATGGTGTAAGTGGTTACTTGGGATCCTATAGTAGTTCTGTCAAGTTGAAAGGTATTTTTTTTCACCCTTTATCATTTGTCGTGGATTATCTTGTGGCCTTGTTTTGGTTAGACCTTGAGGCCTGCATAATCCTCTTGGATGATATTTGCAATAATGTAATATTGTTTTTGAACTTGCTGCTATTGTTTCGATCTCGCTGTTCATATTCATCTGGACTATATCCACCTGTATCTGGTGAAATTCTGAGGTGTTGCACAAATGGTTGGGTGGAGTTTGGTGGATGCTGAGCTCAATGGGACGATCACCTTTTTCAGCTGTGCATGCGTTTGACTGGTAGATGGCTTGGTTAGTGGGCGTTGGGTGTGCTCAGTGTTCTTGCGTGTGTTTTTTTATCTGGCGCATTTCGATTTGCCAAATGTGAGCGAGCGAGGTCGTGCGTGGAATATTAATCTGCTGCTGCTGCGAGATTGGAATCTTATCCTCGTCTATCCCCACACAGATCGTGATTCGAATTCCTACCGGTGTTTCGTGGACACGTACCAGTGGCAGGATTCTTGTGTTTTCTTAATGCATGTGTGCATAACAGAAAGTCAGGAACACATGGTTAATCTTCTAGAAAAGTCATGCGAGTTTTTTCCACGAATTCTTTTGTACTACTAGAACCAGAAGAGAATAACTTCCCAGTTTCAAGTCTGCCAGGGGCCACTAAAGAAGCACTTGACACAAAAACATGCTGATGACCCTTTTCCCTTTATTTATTTACAAAAGCAACAATAACCTTTTATTTCTTTCTTTTTTAATCCGGGAACCTACACTGAAGTCTGAAGTGTTTCTGCTTGAAAATTGCGGCCACAGCATCTTCAGTTTTGCATAGTTTTTACTGACAGACGTCTGCTGGTAGTTGCAGGAAGTACCCCCAAATTTCAGAGTAAAGAGTAGCTTGTCTTATAATCCGTATTTTTCAGCTGGAACAGTGTTTCTCTCTCACACCAAATCAGCCGGAACAGTGTTTCGGCTTGTTTTTTCAGCGAAGCGAACGGGCCGTGCGAAGCTGATAGGGCCCCCGCCCGGAAAGCGCAGGGATTCAGGTACGTCGGCATTGCTTGCAATTGCAAGTTTCCCGGCCATGGTCCACTTTGGATCCCCGTCCGGAGTAATGCAGCAGCAGCAAACAGGACGACGCAAGGCCCATGCCTTGCCAACGTGCAGGAAGCATGGGTTGCTACCTGCATTTCCTTTTCTGGGACATGCCCTACAGTTAGTTGTTCGACGGGAAGCGTTACGGACGAAGCAGGAGATGACGAGATCTGCTGCCACTAGCGGTGGTGAATCCCAGCTGCCGGCACGACCCCATCTACCAGACAGCCTGCCGTCTAAGAGCCTGATTGGTTAGAAGGGATTAAGACAGTGAGCCCATTTTAGTCCCTTCTACCAGACAGCCTGCCGTCTAAGAGCCTGATCTGGCTCAGCCTGGATGTTCAATGATTACAAAGCATGTCGGTGTTTCCGATGTGCTACACTTGGTGGCACTGAAAGCCTCTGATGTTCCTTTGTCGGGAAGGTGGTCGGCTTCAAGGTTCTTGCTTCGACTGTCGGCGACGAGGACGACCAGGAGAATCTTGCAACGACTTGGATGTAATTTTCCTTTATTTCAAGGGTGTCTTTGTAAGATTTGGGATGTAAACTATCAGAAATATATGTGAAATATAAACCCGATTTCTCAAAAAAAAAAGGAGGGACTACTGGAGGGCCTATAATGGGTTTGGTTGTAGTCCCTAGGGCACTCCCAATGTAGAAATTATCATAGTTTTTATGAACATTGATTATACTGTCACCTAACCATTTTGCTGATGTGGCAAGGTAGTTATTGAAGAGAGCAAAAATCATAGAAACCAGGTCTAAGTTAAAAACCAAGTCTACACGAGAACCAAGATATAAAGGGATGTGATTGGTAGAGAATGGAGAGAGAATGTATGTGATTGATAAAAATTGTTCGGTAGAAACTATCTATTAAGGCCATGGTTTCTATATGTAGTGTCTATGCATGTAGTTTTTAGCATTGGGACTGCCCTTAGGGGTGACTATTGGGGACTACTGGCCCAACTTGACACCCTATGCCCCTCAAATATTGCCGGTCCCCACACCTCCTCATCGTCTTCCCGTCGTTACTCCTCCATCTCCCTCGTGCTCCTCGTCGCCGCTCCACGCGCCCCTGCTCCTCCCGAACCTGCCCCTGCACCCACACGCGCCCATCCGCGTGTACATCCACCCCTCCGGCACGCTCCTCGCTGCCACGCATGGCGCCGTCCTAGTCCACCGCGTGCACGCCGCCGCCAGGGCCCTCGTCTCGATGCTCCAGCTAGAGGAGGTGCGGGCTAAATAGAAGGGAGCATACCAGTCTGGACACGATCACGGAGTTGAAAGGTGCGGGCTTCCCATCGACCTTCTCTTTGGGCTTCAGCTGCAGCACTCGGTCAAGGCGACTCCAGACCTCGTCGTCCGGTAGACCCTCCGGCGACGCACGGTCTGGGTCCGTCCGGCCGTTGTACTTCCACATCGGCTGCGTCCTCTCCACCAATGGCGCAACCCAGCGGCAGTAGAGGGTGTGGAACACCCGCACCCCGTCAAGGCCGCGCCGCACGAGCTTTCGGAGCTCCTCCTCGATGATCTCCACCTTCTTCTTCTCCCAACGGGCACAACCCCACGACCAACTATCCTGCTTCTCCGGCCTCCCACCGGTGAATGCCGGGAACGGTGCCTCCGCTAGATTCCTGATATAAAACCACTCCCCATGCCACCCCCGGTTGGAGTCGTATTGGATGTACGCGTTATACGAGCCTCCCGCGCTCGGTTTCCTCTACAGGGCGAAACCCCCCACCGCCGCGACCTCGGGCGGATTCCCCACCAGCAAAGCTCGCCTAGAGAACAGCCAGCAGAAGAAATCGACGTGTGGCTCCATCCCGAGGAAGGCCTCGCAGACGGTGACAAAGCCGGCGATGTGTAGCACCCCCGTCGGATTGAGGTGTTGCAACTCCAGACCCCACTCATTGAGGAGTCCGCACAGGAACCAGTTGAAAGGTCCTAATGGCTAGAGGGGGGGTAAATAGCCTAATAAAAATCTACAACAACACTTAACAAAATGTGTTAGACAATTTTACGGCGAAGCGAGTGTTGCGCTAGCCTACTAAAATGCAAGCCACCTACCACAATTCTATTTCGAATAGTGTATATCCACACAATAGCTATGACACTTAGCTAAATTAGTGTGCTCTCAAAGACTAACTAAAGAGCAACACTAATCAAACAAACAAGCTCTCACAACTAGCTACACTAAAGAGCTTGATAACTAGTTTGCGGTAATGTAAGAGTGAGCAAGAGAGTTATACTGCCGTGTAGTGGTAGGAACCAATCAATCATAATGATGAATACCAATGTAGACCAATCACCTCGGAATCAAATGATGAACACAATGATTTTTACCGAGGTTCACTTGCTTGCCGGCAAGCTAGTCCTCGTTGTGGCGATTCACTCACTTGGAGGTTCACGCGCTGATTGGCATCACTCGCCAAACCCTCAATAGGGTGCTGCACAACCAACACAAGATGAGGATCACACAAGCCACAAGCAATTTACTAGAATACCTTTTGGTGCTCCGCCGGGGAAAGGTCAAGAACCCCTCACAATCACCACAATCGGAGTCGGAGACAATCACCTCCTCCACTCAACGATCCTTGCTGCTCCAAGCCATCTAGGTGGCGGCAACCACCAAGAGTAACAAGCGAAATCCGCAGCGAAACACAATTACCAAGTGCCTCTAGATGCAATCACTCAAGCAATGCACTTGGATTCACTCCCAATCTCACTATGATGATGAATCAATGATGTAGATGAGTGGGAGGGCTTTGGCTAGGCTCACAAGGTTGCTATGTCAATGAAAATGTGCAAGAGTTCACCCTTGAGCCGGCCATGGGGCTATGAATAGAGCCCCAATCAAATAGAGCCGTTATACCCCTTCACTGGGCAAAACGCGCTCTGACCGGACGCTCCGGTCATACTGACCGGACGCTGGCCCTCAGCGTCCGGTCGCCCGATGGACGCCACGCGTCACCAGCTTCAAACGTTGTTCGTCAGATTTCAACGGCTGCGAAGCTGACCGGACGCTCCGGTAAAACTGACCGGACGCTGAAGCCCTAGCGTCCGGTCGTTTCCAGTAAGCTCCCCGAGGCATGTTTTTTTGACCGGACGCGTCCGGTCCACCTTGACTGGACGCAGCCAGCGTCCGGTGCTCAACCCTAGCCACTGTGTCGTCTGACAGCTCGACCGGACGTAGCCTTTCAGCGTCTGGTCGCTGAGTGACCCAGCGTCTGATCAGTAGACCGACGCTAGCATCATTTCGATCAACTCCATTTCAACTCTTACTTCTTCACCCTTGCTCAAGTGTGCCAACCACCAAGAATTTTGCATCCGGCGCAATAGAAAATAGACATTTCATTTTCCCGAAAGCGCAATAGAGAGGGACCCAAACCTATCTCAACCCTACAAACACCTTGTGCACATGTGGTAGCATATTTACACAAATATTATCAAGGGTGTTAGCACTCCACTAGATCCTAAATGCATATGCAATGAGTTAGAGCATCTAGTGGCACTTTGATAACCGCATTCCGATACGAGTTTCACCCCTCTTAATAGTACGGCTATCAAACCTAAATGTGATCACACTCTCTAAGTGTCTGGATCACCAAAATAAAATAGCTCCTACAAGTTATACCTTTGCCTTGAGCTTTTTGTTTTTCTCTTTCTTCTCTTCAAGTTTAAGCCCTTGATCATCTCCATGCTATCACCATTGTCATGTTATGATCTTCATTTGCTTCTCTACTTGAAGTGTGCTACCTATCTCATGATCACTTGATGAACTAGGTTAGCACTTAGGGTTTCATCAATTTACCAAAACCAAACTAGAGCTTTCACCAGTGCGCGGGGTATCCCAATCCGCGCTCATGGAAGGCGAGAAAGGAAACCACCTCATCGGGCCGAGGTTGCGAAAACTCCTCCCTCCTAGGAGCCCTCTAGTGTGCCACCTCCTTCGGCGGCAGAAACCCCTTCGTGGCGAAGGCCTTCAACATCGACTCCCTCACAGTGGACGACCTCCAGTCCGACATTTTGCTCTGGGATCACGAAAGGATTTGTGAGTTTTTCTCTTCTCCCTCTTTCTCTCCCTTTTCTTTCCTAGAAACCACCGCGGCTCTCAAGAACGCTCTCGGCAAGAAGGAAAAGGAAAGGAGGCGGCAGAAGAGGAATAGGCGAAAGAACAGAGCGAAAACCTTCTCCCTCCTCCTACTTAAGGAAAAGGGTGCAGCAGTTGGGGAAGGCGCGCCGATCGGGAGAGATGAAACGGCGGAGCGAAAAACCCTCTCTCTTTCCCATTTAATGCAGATGGGACGCACCCTGACCGATGAGACGCGCCCTGCCCGACGGAACGACGCATGATCAGACAGGACGTGGCCTGGGCATGGCCCACCACTACCGCACGCCAACCACTACCGCACGACGGGCACAAGAATCAAAGCGCCACCGCACGCAGGCGGCCCTCCGCTTCCCCAGGCAGGACTTAGAAAAAACCCAAAAACGGGATCTCCGCCAGGAGAGACCATTGGGCTTCCTAAAAGTTGATCGAACGGCTCAGGAAAACACACCGAGGGACAGGTAAGGAGCAAAGGGATGCCCCATGTAGGCCATGCCGACTCCGTCACGAACGATGAGCACGGGTCCTGGTCGAACATTTCCGACTGGAGCTCTTCAAACCCGTCCCTCGAGTCATCAAGGTAATACTACCGACCCCCGCTATTTTTTTATAATCATTTCATACATCCATACGCGCATTCATTCAATATGCCCGTGCCCCCCGGACGATTTGGGCCCTGAACCGCCCGGGGGCTCGGGAACTAAGCATCGCACATGCAGCGAAATGCATCACAACGCTCTGTGTTGTGTCACAAAGCGGCAGTTGTCTCATTCGACATGAGCAATGACCGACCGGGGTTCGAAGGCTGGCCCACGAAGGGCTCGAGGCCGCCCCACGAAGGGCTCGAGGCCGCCCCACGTCAAACAGAGCCAGGGGAGAAAAACACAGATGAGCCCAGTGCGGCCGTCGCCCGGTCTACCCCAAAGCAGACAGGGTCATCTCAACCTTCTCGTTCGATCCTGAACCTCTTACCAAGCCCAAAGAATCTCCATCGAGGGAAGACCGTCAGGCCACCCAGGTCGATCTTCGGAAAGACCCAGGCATCTACCAGGTTGCAGGTAAAGGAGCAGTGGAATGTCACAAGAGGGCTATGCTGACCCCGTCACGAACGACAGACCCGGATTCCACTCGATCATACCCGTTAGCGAACTCACCGAGCGCGTCACTCGAACCCGAGTGATCGGGACAAGGGACAAAACTCAGCCCCACCGGTTGTGAGAAACCGAGGACAGGGTAACGCACACAACTCAAACCGACCCCTAACAAAGCCCAACGGGGCTCGGTGGCTCAAGACATCCAAAAACATGACCCCGAACTCGCCCCATCCGGCTATGCTTTGACTGCACACCAAACGCCTAGGTCTGCGACCCCGAACTCGCCCCATCCGGCTACACTTCGATTGCACACCAAACGCCTGGGTCTGCGACCCCGAACTCGCCCCATCAGGATCTACGAGCCCCGGCTCGCCCGATCCCTAAACTAATTAACTAACTGTCTCGGCTGCGCGGGCTGCACTGAGGCCAGGATCCATGACTCGAATTCGCTCGGTCCCACGGCGCGCACCGACGCCAGGACCCGCGAGCTCCGTCTCGTCCGATCTCTAAGAACTAACTGCATCGCCCGATCCCATGGAGCGCACCGACACCAGGATTCGTGAGCTCCATCTCACCCGATCCCAAATCTAAAAACGCCTCAGCTGCGCAACGATGCCTTGGTGGACGACTCCATCTCGACTAAAAAACACGCACACACGCCCGCTAACAAACACCCCTAGACGATTCTACTCGAAATCGCCCGGGGGCTCAGGGGCTACAGCCGTGGGTGCGCTCGCGCGCACCCGCTGACGAAACAAAAAACTTTCCCCGCTGGCAACACGAGAAACCCTTAGACGGTTCTGCCTGAACCGCCCGGGGGCTCGGGGGCTACACCCACGGGTGCGCTCGCGCGCACCCGCCGTCAAGCCAAAAAAAACCCAAACGATTCTAACTGAATCGCCCGGGGGCTCTGGGGCTCCTGTCGGGTTCATAAACCCGGGGTCCCTCGCGGACCAGCTTCCCCGCAAAGGCTCGGTCCAAGCAGACAACGCGCAACTCATGGGCCGGCCCAAGTACCTAAATGACAGGCCAAAAGGGCGATCGAATCTCCGGCCGGGAGACCTGGCCGAGGAGGAACAACACCCGCTTTCCAATTCCGGCCCACCTCTCCGACTGGAGCACTCGCTTCGGTCTCCAACCCGCCTCCGGACGGCCTCTCCGATCGAAAGGCCTGGCCAAAAGCACTACTTCCGACTCTGACCCGCGTCTCCGACCGGGGATGCGCCAAAACCCTTCTCACAGCTTGTCTCCAACTGGCGCGATCAGAACCGACTGGGACCAACCGACCGGGGACGCCCGCTCGGAAGGGACCAGGGAACGAACGGAGAAAGTAAGGCAGGGCGCACAAGTCAAACCACGATACCAGGGACCGTACCATGTACACCTGCAGAAGCAATACTCTGCAACCTTCCTGGCACAACAGAGCCCAAACAGTATTGTAGGCGCCGATGTTTTTCCCTACAGTATTGTGGGCGCTATTAACTCCCCTATGGTGAGGCCTCCCCACATACCTCTGGGCATCGACAGTGTTGTGGGCGCTGGCTTTTACCGTACTGGACGAACATGGTAAAAACTCCTTGCATGCCTCCAGAAATCAACAGTGTGGCAGACGCCGATGTCTGCCATATCCGAAGAAGACAACACCACCTCCCACGTGCATATGACATTCAACGGTATTGTGGGCGTCTACCATCATCCTGTACTCGCCGCGCGTGGGCAGTAAGGCTCGGTAGCATACGTACTCTCTTTCTCTCACTTGTAAAGCCATCTCCTTCATCTATAAAAGGTAATGCGCTCTCTCCCAAAAGAAAAGGTTGATCCAGGTGATTTCAGATTCATTAGATCGATCAAGTTCACTAGTTCACAACCACAGAACCACCAGGTTCGAACCCCAAGCACACGCTTGAACACTTAGCTCATAGCGGAGCTCTTGTCGCTCTCGGCCCTTCCGACCGGAGTCCGACCGGACCTCTTGTACCCCATCTTTCTCCTTCTCATTTGTAACCCCTCTGCAAACTTCAAACACCTAGGCTCAGGAATAAAGTCACCGACCGACTCAAACTGGACGTAGGGCACGTTGCCTGAACCAGTATAAACCCTGTGTCATTGAGTGTTAGGCCACCTCCGATCACAACGTATGGCAAAACTACAAATATTTACTTGTTGGTCATTTTCTACACCGACAGACAGTCATCCAAACATGTAAAAATGGAATAAACCCTCCAAAGAGCGCAGATGTTTCCACTTTCCACCAGTAGCATACCATGCAAAAAAATGGGAGCACATAATAACGCAACAGCTTGCTATCCAGATAAACAGCCTACACCACCCGCCGACAGACCTACTAATTACTATTACTATCCTGATAAACAGACTAGGACACCCGCAGGCATACTTTCTCCCACGCAATGCATACAAAAATAACCATCAGAACAAGAACAGCTCAAACTCCGGAGAGTTGTCTGTTGGCAGCAACACAAGTCAATGAATTAAGGGTCATCGTATGGATGGATGTATCTCCATGCGGAGTGGTGACTAGTACAACTGGACTCCATTCAACGACAAACGAATAAATCAATAACTTAGTCCTATTAGCACCAAAAGGCAATTTCAAAGAAACCAAACGAAAGATGGACAAAACTAGGACACCAACACTCCAACTAATCTCTGTTCAGTGATTAAGTATGGTACAAAACAGGTGTCAGTCAAAAGTTACCAAAAATCTATTGTGACATCAGAACATTTATAGTCCGTAATCATTTGGATGCCCATATACAAAAAATGCCACAACTTGTCTGCGCACATTGGGGGCATTAGCTTACTAGTGGCGGACTGAATAGCATGTGTTCAGCAGAGATAGAAATCATTCCCTCTTTTCTGGTTTCTGGACCTTGACATAAGGCAAGAATCCAAGAAGGTGTGTTATCCGCGGCTCCCACCCACGTTGCTGAGCTCGACAAAACATTAGGAATGTGTTGGCATAGTATGAGTTGAGGCCCATAAGCACATGCCACCATGCGTGCCCCTGCGGGTTGACGTACCAATGCGAAAGCTTCTTACAGAAGATGCGATCAACTAGCCAGCAGAGAGTCCCAAGGGTTAATGTAAGAACCCACAGCTTTGCAAGCCGCTTCGCAGCCACGTCTTTCGTCTGTATGTAGTACTTGTACATCCGGGGGATGCAGAGGAAGCAGAGGCCAATGTAATGCAGCTTGAATACAACTTGGAACCGGGCAAAGAAATGAACTACAGCAAAGGCAGCACCATATAGGAAAAGGAAAGTTGGCATCGTGCTCCTGTAATGCCAGTCCGGTGAATAAAGGACATACATATAAAGAAGGATCTCCCAAACCATCGGAGTCTCATCACTCTGTTGTAGACTGGAAAACAGAACGTCGACAAAGCAGCATGTTACAAAAAAAGGATATGTTGCACAAAACAGAGTAAACATTATGGAAATTAACTACAAGATGACTAAACAGGTCACAGAGGTAGGAAGTTTATGAAAACATCCAACAGTGACCAGTATGCTAAAAGTACAGTGCCCCCACACACACACGCACACACAAAAGGTGATGATCCAGCAAATTACAACCCCTCACCCTCCTAAAAGGCAGAGAAACCCTTGAGCTTTGATTTGAGTATGGATTCTAGTCCTCGTTTCAGGCATATTTCAAATGAGTTCTCTATGCTGAGTTTAGTATATGGCAAAGGTCAAAATTAACCATTGTTACTTGTTAGTGGTTTTTTGTCATTCGATACACTCAATGATTGGTCAGGCTGAAGCTGCCAGTTCATCCATCATAAGAGATGACTAGATTACCTTGGTTTTTTCCATGAAACTGTTGATGAAGATTTATTAGAAGCAGATACAACAAAATAGAACAAAAGCAGATCTTTCAACAAATGCGGTAGACAAATGCAGAGATTTATCAATGGACATCAGAACAGAGATAATTTTGGGCATCACAATCACAACATATGCCAATCAGTGTGTTGGTCAGCAAGTGCATCAATATATTGCCAAAAATGGAACCATATGTGCCAAAATGGAACACAAAATTTATGCATTTGAGGTAGTTTCTGCAGGCATGTGCATGCAAAGTGTATTTGGTGCGTCCAGGGAGCCGTTAACTTAAGAGGTAGATCAGAAACCATTTTTTGCACAAAATGAACCCAAGAATCCGAAACGGAAAAAATAAACAACATAACACAAGAAAGAATACCGAACATCTAAGCAATATACCAATGTTTTACAGACAATTTCAACCATCTTTGTTTGCCAGCTAGAATTTTTGTACAGGAGAGCTATGATTTCAGGGTTTAGAGTGGAAATAAATTCTTGTGCATGCTACTGTTGAAAGACCTGTGCCAGAAGTTGACACACTACTCTAGCACATGGACTCATGTCAATCAAGACATTATGTAGAAGAACACTCCTGAGAAAGCTTGTGCAGTAACAGAATTGTTGTAAGCTGTGACTTTTTTTGCACAAAAATAGAAGGCCAGTGCAAACGCTACATCCTGAGCCCACTGTGCAGCGCCAAATGCACGTGAAGACTGTGCAATGCGCGTGACAAAAAGGGAAAGATTGCACAAAAAGAGCCCAACAATGCTATGTTCCATGTCACCCAATGGCCTTCAGCTCAACACAACAAATTGCGCTAAAATATGTAGCCTTGTAGCAACAAATCTTAAATCAACAGTTCCTTGGTGGTTTTGACAGAATGCACGCAAAGTTCACCCAAGTAACCCCCCCCCTCCCCAAAAAAAAATGCCCGGTGCGCCCACCATATGCACATGTATTCACCATATAAGTCACTCAAAAATTCAAGTTTAGCACCCTAGTAACTTAATATTGCTATGCCCCCACCCTCAAAAGTTTTTTCCTGGCTTCGCCGCTTAATGGGTATCTCAATATTCTGAAAGTTCATCTACTGAATCTGCACATAATCCAAGAGATAGATATCTTCCGGTTTTGAGTCAAAATATATAATACTAGAAAAGATTGCACAAAATAAAAGGAGCAAGCCAACTGTGTAATGAAATTTTTTTTATATATAAAAAACTATGAAACATTGGATCAGTTCCATATCAATAATTCTACAGAGAAAGGCAAAAAGATGAATACTCAAGAAAGATAAATAATGCAGATGTTCTTGATGAAGCATCAAATCTAGAAGCAATAAATTAGAAATCTCCTTACAGTTAATGGCTAACACACTTTTATTTTATAACAGATTAACAGCCCATCTTCTGTGCAGTTTTATACGCAAAACGGCTAGATGGAGAAATAATTTCCAGTCTTATGCCAATGGCCCTTTCCCAAAAATGGTATCGACAGTTCTAACTTTAATACATACATACCCCCTCCAGTCAAAAAATACTTGTCACAGTTGACTAATGGTCTTTGATGCATATCTTTGACTTCTAGAGTATATTCGTAAAATCCTTCAAAATTATGAGAATTTGCAAGTATTTTTTTAATATGAATTACATGTTTCCAAACTCAATAATTCAAAAATTATTCATGTTTGTAATTTTTACTAAGGTTTGACCAAATCTTGTCTTAACCGACATGTTTTTGTGACCGGAGGGAGTAGAGAAAAACATATAGGTAATTAATTAATAACTTATAACACCAAGAGAAGGTATACCATGGCAAACAAACAACACAAGAATACAATGCACAAGGCCATTCCATAATGACCTGAACTCGATCAAGTGCATTGGGAAAAGAATAAGCTCTAGTTATAACAGTTTCTCAAGTAGGTACCAGTAATCACAAAGTTAAAAGTGACATTTCACATAAACATAAAGAAGTTTCAATTTAAGAGAAAACTTACAGAAGTTGCAAGGTGGCATGGAAAATCATACTCCCAATAGCAAGTATCATATTGGATATGTGAAGGACACTGAACCGTTTCTCAAAACCTTGGCGGAAAGCGTTCACTAATCCAATAAGCACCAAAAGAACGCATGGGACATTAGAGATGGTATTGTAGAATTCTGCGATATATGATGAGTGTGCATAATTCTCCTCGCACAACTCAGCCGTTGATGTAACAGGCCCCCAGAAGCTCGCTACCATTGAATCCGCCATTTTTAGCTCTTGATTTGCTACCCTAGCAACAGCCTATGTCACCAGAGTTGAGGTCAATGTGGCTGGTGCTAAATCATGAGTGCACCAAAGAAATAATCTGCAAGGATGATATACAAATCAGGGTTCCAAAAAGCGGCACTAAGCGACGGGTAGCGCTTCGCTATGGGGTATAAGCGCTCCCAAAGCGGCGCGACCGCCTTGGTGGAGCAGCGGCTGCTGGCTCCCGCTGCCCGCCGGCCGCGCGCAACGCAGTAGCAGGGGCCGGGCGCCGTCGACGGTCCAGCGGAGGAGGGAGGGGAGAGGGAGGTGCGTACGCAGGGTCGCCGGCCGGTGTGCGGAGGACGGAGGCGGGAGGGGGAGCCGCTGACGCCACCGCCGAGCCTGGGACTGCCCCGCCGTCGCTGAGAGCCCGAGCCTGAGCGCCGCCTCCGTCGCCGGCGCTGCGAGAAGATGAAGAAACGGCGGCGGATGTCCTTCGCTGGAGCAGTGTTAGGGTAAAGAAACGTATAGGTGTGGCGATATGTGGGTTTGGGCTGAATTAATGGGCTTTTGGATGGGCCACTAAATAAAAGCCCAAACCATCATTTTTTCCTTTTCTTTTTCATTTCTTTTTTTTTCTTTTAACATCTTTTGACAAATCAGCACATAATCTTTTTTTACAAAAGAGAATATATTAATATCCCAGCTTCTGCATGTATCAATGTATATAGCTGTTCCCTATTACAGACAAGAATAAAACGGTCCAGGGAATCTCAAAAACAAAGTTTTGAGCCATAACGAAAAGACAAGCTTTTCCAAAAAAAACACAACTAAAAAGCAAGTCTGTTGCTGAATTGCCAGCCGTATCTAGCAAACACCTCCATCGCAATTGTCTCAATAGATCTACATCCCATCTTCATCGAATGGCGATCCTCCTCCTTCTGTAGTAAGGACTAGGACATAGCCCAGTAAGTCCCCTTGAAAATAACCTGCAAATAAGATGGTGCTAGGATCTTGTCAAACACAATGTCATTCCGAGTTAACCAAATCGCCCAACATATAGCACTTACACCCACAAGAATTTGAGATTTCAGTTTTCTATTTACCCCATCCAACCAACCTGTATGTATCCATATTTATCTGCAATTTTGTGAAGCCACATCAACCTCCATTACCTTCTATTGATCCCCATGTATCTATAACTGATTTTAAACCTGGACTGATGTCCATTGGGCTTCCTAGCCTCCTGTCACGCTTCCGCTAGGAATCGGACAAATAGCTTCAGAATTAGAGATTTAGGGAGAGAAGCAGGACTGGGGACGAAGAACAAAGACAGACTTAATTGAGGACTCAGAGTTTTAGTTCTTCGCTACAAGACACAACAACCTCAGGCGTTATATGCCAACATGATTCCTACCATAACGACAGTTAACTCACCGCCAACTCACACCACTACGGCTTAGCTGTCACCGTTACCCCCACATTGACCGACGCCATTTGCACTGTTGCCAAATGCGCAATAGTACTCCTAATCCTTCTTGCCTTCTCCTTGGTGGCCTTGACATTGCGCCTCCCTCGAAAAGCTACTTGTCCCCAAGCATCACTAGATGGAAGTCGCCGCCAGAGATCATGAGCTTCCTCCCACGTCGTCAGGGTTGGTGAGTTATCATACCACTACACCTGAAGCCAGAAAATGGATGGACTAGACAACCGTGGAAGGATCATCTAGAACCAAAGTGATAACGTCTTCCACCTACACTGAAGGAGGGATATGCTCTAGGATGCATGGACTACAGGATTGTAAGGTCGAGATGGCGGACTAGGGAGGTGAATAGTCCTTTCTAAATTTAATCACACCGGCAAACTGAAACAAATGCGGAATTAAAACAATCGGTCTAGGCAAGACTACACCCCTCTATCGAAGTTCACAAACACCTTATAAAGATCCTAATTTAGGCAATAAAGGTGCCGGGCTAGCTAGAGCTCACCTAACCAATTCTAGAAGCAAGGTCACCCAAACCTATGCCACTAGTACTTCAAGCAACAAGGTAGCTCCTACACATGCTAGTAAGCAAAAGCACAAAGCCACCTAAGCTCACTAGCAATGCTCAATAACAAGACAACCAATGCCAAATTAGAGAGCGCAAATACTTAGCTACATAAACTAAGCAATATGACTAATAAGGTTACACAAACCAAATTAGCCACGCAAGGGAGCTACTTCTATGCTACACAAGCTAGAAGGTAACTAGCAAGCTACACAAGCTAACTAATTACAAAAGCAACTACACAAGCACAATGTACATGAAAGTAATTACAAGCTTGTGTAACGAGGATGCAAACCAACAAGAAGAACAATGTTGACACGGTGATTTTCTCTCGAGGTTCACGTGCTTGCCAACACGCTACGTACCTGCCAAGCCCGCATGTCGGGCACCGCAAGAACCTACCCCAAAAGTGAGGGTAGCTCAATGACACTCTCAACTAGAGTTGCTCTTCGTGGCTTCCGTGGGGCAAGCACAATGCCCTTCGTAAAGCTTTTCTCTGGAGCACTGCACAAGCTTCTTACAGGCTTTGACGGAGACCACCACCAAGCTGTCTAGGAGGTGGCAACCTCCAAGAGTAACAAGCACCACTGGCTTGCAAGTAGACCACCTAGTGCCACTCGATGCAACCTCATGATGCAATCGCACTAGAATCGCTCTCTCGCACAATCGGATGATCACTATCAAGCATATGTGAGATGGAGGGCTCCTAAGCACTCTCAAGCATGGACACAAAGTCCCCCAAGGTGCTCAACCCTAGCCATGGCCGAGACCACCTTCTATTTACAGCCCCCACGAAAATAGAGCCGTTGTACCCCTTCACTGGGCATTGCTCGGGGCGACCGGATGCTCCGGTCAGATCGACCGGATGCACCCTGCCAGCGTCCGTCGCGCTACGTCGTCCACGTGTCACTTTGCGTTCAACCAGAGCGCTCGATCTCAATGGTTAAGTTGCGACCAGACGCAACACAGTGCCAAGACCGGACGCACCTCTACCGAATCCGATCGCTTCTAGAGAGGTTCCATTCACGACCAGACGCGTCAGTTCGATCACGACCGGACGCAGGAGGGGCAGCATCTGGTCGAGTCTAGAGAGCTCCCTGAGCTGCTCAACTACGACCGGACACGTTCGGTCGGTCATGATCGGACGCAGCATCAACATACGGTCCTTGTCCTCTTCTCTGCGCCGCCACATCAGTGGGACCGAACGCACCCACCAAGCGTCCAATCACAAAGTGACCCAGCGTCCAGTCAAAGACCGACGTCTGTGCCTTCTCTGCTGCCACTGACCGGACGTGCCAGTCTAGTTGAGGCCAGCGTCCGATCACTCACAGTGGCCTCCTTTCACCTCCGTTTCTTCACCGAGTTGATCCACATCAACTCCAACTTCTTCTCCTTTGTAAATGTGCTAACACCACCAAGTGTACACCACCATGTGTATGTGTGTTAGCTTTTCACAAACATTTTTCAAATGATTAGCCACTCAATTTACCACGCCACTCGATCCTAGCGACGATGCAAAGTTAGATCACTCGAGTGGCACTAGATGATCGATATGTAAACAAGTTTGCCCCTCTTGATAGTACGACCATCTATCCTAAACCTGGTCATCAACTTCTCTACACACCTATGACCGGTGAAATGAAATGCCCTAGGTTATACCTTTGCCTTGCGCATTCCATTCCATCTCCTCCAATGTCGATGCAACACATGCACCAACACGATCAACAATGATATGACCCACTTCATATCATCACATGATCATATTAGTTCATCGATCTTGACTTCACTTGCTTTTCACCGTTGCCTTCGTCCATCGGCGCCAAGTCTTGCTCAAGCTTCATCGCCACGCGGTCCATCACTCCAAAGCCTCTGACTTGCCCTTCACTCTTACAACCGGTCCATTAAGCCAAGTCATGTCTTGATCTTCTCCACCTTGATCATATGACTCAATGTCATGTCTCATGTACAATGAGCTCCTTTATCATCATATGTGTGAGCTTTGCAACATCTCCGAGCCATTTTCACCTTCATGGCATATGTTGCTCACTCACATGTACTTATGGACTAATCACCTGTGTATCTCACATAAACACAATTAGTCCACCTAGGTTGTCACTCAATTACCAAAACCACACAAGGACCTTTTAATCTCTCCCTTTTTGGTAATTGATGACAACTCTACAAAGATATGGAAATTAAGCTCTTTTGAATTCATGTTGCTTGCCCAAGCAATTTTACCACGTGTAAATGATTTTGGACAAGTACCACAAACCCAAAATGGTAGTATTAGCTCCCCCTATATATGTACTAGAGTGTTTGGTTTGAAGCTCACACATATGCATAGATTGAAATTGTGGGAGAGTAATTACTACCAAATGATGCTAAGGTGTATAGAGTAAACCTTTGAAGCGTGATACCAATCGGAGTTGCACTTACACCATCCTTAGCACCATGAGTAGCTAGATATCACTTGAGAATAAAATCACTAGATACCTCGTGAGATCAACATTAAAAAGCAAGGTACTAGCATTACTTGAAAAGCTTGCCAAGTGTCTAGCTATCATTCTATGCATGCTAGTTTTCATTTCATCAATCAAATTGTACAACTAGCATACACCACACAAGCATGCATATTGAATTTAAAAGCTTATACAATGCAAGCAAGCACATGACTATGCACATAACAAATGCAACCAATCAAAGTTCATGAGCTTGCTCCTCCTACTTGTGTGCTTCTCTTATCCAAGAATTTTGTTGATCCATCTTTTTTCTTCAATGTTGCTCCCTCTTTGTCCATGTCCATGTCCAACCTCTACTTCTTTTCTCTAATGTCTCCCAAAGCTTTCATATCTTTGTACAATCTCTCCCCCTTTGTCATCAATTTCCATAAAAGGTGTGCTTCTTATTGATGCAAAGGTTTGCATTTGGGGTAGATGGTTGAAGCTTCAATCTTGCATTTTTATGGACATCACT